GTTGATGGAACTATGGAGGGGGTGAAGACATATTTAGGCGTTCGGCCGCCGGACAGTGTAAGCGGGGTGGGATAGGGAAGGAGAAAATTGGGGTTAAAGTTTGAAAGAGTAAAGGAATGAAACCAGATTGAAATTTTAAAATACGATAAAAATAATAAAAAATATCGTTTTATAGAAAATGTGTGGTCCAAAGAAGGAATGAGGTGCATTAGCACTGCAAAGAGCCGAACTATTCACGAATAGGCTCGGACTCGGCTTCAACTCATTTAATAAACGATCGAAGCTCGAGCTTTCGAATAAGTTTGACTCGTCAAGTTTCGACTCGTTTATCTTATGGTTAAATTATATAATAAATACATATTTATATATTAAATAATATTTTTATTTCAATAATATTAAATAATATTAAAAAAAATCTTTAATCGAAAGCCGAGCTCGAGTCTAGTTAATTATCGAGTCGAGCTCAAATTCTTAATAAACGAGCTCGACAAGTAAATGAAGCCAACTCAAACTTAGGTAAAAATCACGCGGAGGCGGCGTTCGCCTCGGCTGCGCCGGCGCTCTCAACTGGCGCTCTCTGGCGGCTCAACTTGACTCAATTTGCAGCCCTAGGGATTATTAGCAAACACCATTACCATCAATCACTTGAGAAGAATAAAAGAGTTTATTTTACTTCTTGATTTCTATTTAAATTTTATTGAACTATATTAATACAAGTTGAAATTTTTAAAATAAATATGTAACAAACTACCCATGATGAAATTAATATATGGACAAATTCAAAAAAATTTACAAGTGTAATTTTTTATAAAAAAAATATGGTGGTGCGTGTTTGGCAACTTGGGTTTTTAGGTAATTTTTTATTTTTTTCACTACAAGACAAATGTTTTACAAAATCAAAAAAAAAAAAACAATCCAAACAAAATATCACATCAAACTCCATAATCCATTTCACTTTTTTCTCTCACAAACATCACATCCAACACAAAAAAAAAACTCAACTTCTTCCACCAAACACAAAAAAAAATTTCTCCAATAATATTCTGTAACTAAAAAAACTTACAAAAAAACTCACTATCCCAAAACACCCACATAATATAATTAGAAAAATGTGTTTCAAAACCCCCTTTCCCTCCCACCCCTTTTTTTGACCCCCTTTCCCTCTATTAGTTTTAAATTTTTTTTTTCTCTTTATTTTTCTCCTCCTCCAATCACCACCTATTCTTCTGTGTGTGGGGAGGCGATGGGTGGTGATTTAATAATAAAAAAAAAAAAAAAAAAAAAAAAAAAAAAAAAAAAAAAAAATGGGCAGCACGCAATCCATACGTTTGATGTGGACAAAAAATTTTTGAAAAGAGGCTAGGATACATCACTGGTTTTGATATTAAAGTGTGGTTAATAATGGGGTTGGCAACCTTTTTGAAAAGTTGTGTTTGGTGTATTATTTGTCTCCTTGTAAAGGGAGATCACTTTAATTGGGTTAAAAAACACTTTGCTTGTTTTTGATTTTAAAAATATTTTACTTCTTGTTTTCATATTTTCTATTTTATAATTTTTTTTTGATATTCAGCTAATTTTTAAAATTTTTAAAAATATTCTAACATAAAATACCATATAAAAAGTATATTTTTTAGAAAAAAATCTTTTAAAAATTTACTAAATACCAAAAATATATATAAAAAAATATTTAGAATTCATAATTTTATGTAGTATTTTAATTTTTTAAAATATTTTTCATATTTTTTTTACTTTTTAGATACATCTAACCTAAGGTACATCTAAAAAAGTAAAAAAAAAAATACTATAATTTTAAAAATATTCACTAAAAATAAAAAATAAAAACTCGATTTTTCAAAAAACACTAATCCAAAAAACTTCAAACCAAACACACACAATGGTGTGTTTTATTTTTTAAAATATTGAATTGTGTTTAATTTGGTTCTTTAATAGATAAAAATATTTTAATTTTGATCCTAATGGTTTAAATTATGTCAATCTGATTCTTAGTATATAAAATGTATTCGCATCTTAGTTCTCCCAAATATTTCATATGGAAATTCTCCATCCAAAAAACCCAATTTTGGAAGGACCCCCCCCCCACTTAAAAAACACACCAATAATAATAATAAAATAATAATGAAAAATTAATAATAATAATAATAATAATGATGATTGATGATGATGATTGATTGATGATTGATGATGATGCGTCTCAAATTTATGATCACTTTTGGACTTGTAGAGAGTATTGTTTTGCAAATTAGACTACAAGTAGATACAAGGAATTGCTGCATTTCCTCTTCAAAATGGTCTCCTGGTCCACCTCAACTCAACAATTTCAGTAACATGTTTTTCTTAGTTTTTGTTTTTCAAATATGTTTCCACAGCTTTACCAAATTCTACCAAGGTATATAAATTTTAAATTTTTGGGTAGTTTTGAAAAAAATTTAAAAAAGAAAAGAGATGGATAAGGGTGGGTTTGAAATTGTTCCTTTCTGATCTTATTTGCCTATTTTTTTTTTTAATTAAAAGAAGTTTAGACTTTTTAAAATCTACTCACTAAATGAACTAGAAAAGTTTTAAAAAATATAGAAGAAAAAAAAAATGATCAACAAAAAAAAAAAAAGAATAAATAATAATTTTTTTAAAAACTTATTTTTTGTTTTTAGTGAAATTTCTTTGGATTTTTTAATTTTTTTTGGTTTTTTAGATAGGTTCTCTGGCCTACAACTGACCCGAAAAAGTAAAAAATTGAACAAAACAAATTTGAATAAAAAAGTCCACTAGACAAAAAAAAAAGTGGTTTTTTTTAGATGGATGCCAAACGAGGCAAGGACCTCAAGAATTCAAGGAAAGCCAATTGGAATCCAAGTAACATCATTTTAAGGATGCATAATATAAGAGGCTCAATATCAGAACACTTTCTTGGTAAAAATTGGGGAGTACCAGGTAAAGAGCATATAATTTTCAGTGTGACAACAGCTCGTTTGGCAAGCTCTCAAATTATAATTTTACCTATTGATTTCATGGTGTGTTGTTGTTTTGAAGTTTTCAAACATACTTTTCACACTAATTTTTCTCGAAACTTCAATTCAAAACATAATCATTTACTTTTCAAAATTCATAACCAAACACATAATTCAAAACTGCAATTCAAATCAATATTTTTAATTTTTTAAATATTTAAAAATATTTAAAAATATACTTTTAAATTTTGTTTTAAGATTTTTAAATATTTTAATATTTAAACATGTTACGATATTTTTAATTTTTGAATATTTTTAAATATTTTAATTTCAAAATATTACGATTTTAATTTTTTAAATTTAAAATATTTTTATAAAAATAAATTCAAACTCATTTTATAAAGAATATTTTTAAATATTTTTTAATTTTTTGTATGTATTTTGGTACGATTTTTGAGTTGTAGAGTTATGAAAGTAGTATGAGTTGAGTTAGGTTTAGTTTAATGAGTTTTAAAAAAATTTCTTAATTGAAGTTTGTTTTATGTAGTTTGGTTACGATTTGCAGTGTAGGACGTTTTTTTTAAATTTAAAAATATTAGACACTGTAACATTTTAAATTTTTAATTTTGACATAATTTATTTTATATTATTAAATTTTTTAGATTTATTTAAATTATTTAAATATTTATTGATTAAATATATTTTCGTGAAGTACATTATTTGGAAAAAAATTATTCTCTTCGTAGTATTTTCAATTAATAATATTGAAATTAATGTATCTGTATAAAATAATTTTAATTGAATTTTAAAAGAAATTTGGTTATGAGTGTTGACAAAATTTTTAATAGATGTGAAAGTAGTGTGTTTTGTTATGAGTTATAACAATTGAATTAAGTTTTCCGAAACATTTTCCAAAACCATAACCGAACACACATTATTCTTCACTTCACATGTCAAATAAACTTTCAAAACTCAATCTTCACACTCAATTAAAACTACAATTCTCACACATCTCTCATATTCAAAACACACAGACCAAACAAATTTTCTACACTCAAGATCATAATGTTCAACTTTCACATATACTCATAAATCGAACGACTACTCTCATATATGCAATACAAAATCTACCAAATCAGTTTGAGCTTAGATATATCAACATAGTTTTTACCACCTGATGTTGAGTATGGTATTGGTTGCAGCTTTACAAATCACTAATATTACACCCAGTTTACTCAAAAACTTCATTCAAACTATAATTCATTATTTCTCAAACTCACAACCTAAAACACACAACTCAAAAACTCTTTTTAACTCAAAAAACAATTAATTTTATTTTTAAATATTTTTATTTTTTAGGAAAGTATTCTTTAATATTTAATCTATTCATAAAATATATTTAATATTTTAATTTTAATATTTTGATATTTTAATTGTAAATATTTTAATTTTCGCGAAATATTTTAATATTCTATATTTTTAATTTTGGAATATTTTCAATATTTTATTTATAGGAATATTTTTAATATTTAATTTTCTAAAATATTTTTTTAATATTTTAATGTTTTACAGCCTAAAAAATGAATTGACGGAAAATTAATGACATAAAAGTTATTTGAAAAAAAAAAATTATTTCAAAAAAAATACTTTAAAAACAATTATATTGAAAAAAAAATTCATTTTTTATTTGAATATTTTTAAAAATAATTTGGTTTATGAATGTTGATCAAATATAAGTTGTGTGTTTGATTATCAATATAGGGTTTTTGAATTAAGTTTTGAAAACTATTTTGAAAACTCATCACCAAACAAATTTTCTTATTTCACATGTCACATCAAACTTTCAAAACTCAATTCCACATACAATTCAAAACTCAATTCAACACTCTATTCAAAAATCATAACCAAACAAATTTTCTACACTCAAATCATAATTTCACAATTCACAAACTCAAAATACAACTCATACTCTCAAATCATATTTACAAAACTCTACCAAATGCAACCTCAGACACTCACTCACTCACTCGGGACGAATACAAACAAATGGCAAATGCATATTTAAGCATAGCCCTTGTGGGTTGGCAAGTAGTGTATACTTCAAAGGTCACAACATCCACAGGTAGTGAGTGATTCAACCTTCTTCCGTCTCTGCAATTAAAAAGCTAACAAAAATCAAAACCAAGTAATGTAGAAGAGCAATGATTCTTATGCAAAATTTTACATATTAGTTTTCACACCACTCAGGGTAAACATATCCTGTGAATTTCGACTAGGGAAGCCCATAACAGCATCATTGCCATTGCAGTAAAATTAAAATTGTTTATATTCAATTATGACAATGTGCAACTCCTTCACGGAAACAGCCTCTCTGCATGTATGTGGGGATAAGGGCTGCATACATCTGGCCCTTCCTAACACTACAATGGCGGGAAGCCTCATGCACTGGGTTCACAATGTGCAAAGCTCCTTGAAGGTGTTTTTTCAAAACAAAACTCAAGTAAAAGTGAAACATACATACCATGTATGGCTTCCATGTCTTCCTTGTAGACACCAAGGGGTGAGCCATGGACAGATAAAAGCATCTCACCATGCTTAGGAAGCCTTAGAGTTTTGGGAGTCATTCCAACAGATAACCCAACATGACTACTCGCCTGCAATTACAGTTATATAGTTAAAGAAAGTTACTTCAGGCATCTCGAGTTCTACCAAAAAGCAAATACAACAAATGCTCAAACACAGGTTTAGCGTCCAAGAAGAAACAGCACGACTCCTTAAAGAACTCATTTTTTTTATGGATTTCATTAGCCGACCCTTTGTAATTTAACGAGTGCTTTTGCTCAATCTATTTACATTAACTATTTGTTATTAAACAATTTTTCTCTTTCCTTTCTCCAATTGAATACTCTGAAGAAATAGCTTATTTTGATTTCAGGCAAGAATTGGCACAAAGTTCACTGTTTAGATCCCTGTATTCCAACTTCAGAACCCTGCAGAAAAAAGAGTAATTGAAACCAACATGTACTTGCATGAAATTCTAGTCACATCACATTCCCATGTGACAACACGTATTCTGGAGTTGGATTAAAGAAATTGAACTTTCTAACTCAGACGTGGAGTCCAGTAAGTATTTTGACCTCCTCTCAACTTCCGCGAACGAAACATGAATTTGACATGCAAGTAGAGTTGCTTTACAAACTAAAGAATTCTAGAATAATAAACAGAAACACTCAGATAAAGAAATGCCAAAAATATTCAAGAAGCAACAAACCCCGGGAGTTTGGAGACCATCTTGCAAACCAAGCATTTGAGTATCAGTTGGCTCCTCCAAAACCTACATGACAGAAAATTTTCAAAATAGAATATAAGATCAAATTACAAAAACATAGCAGAAGAAAGCAATGTTCAATAAGAAAAAAGTCGCCACAACTTTCAAGAAAGAAGAGTGAATCCAAACACAAATGTGGCATCCGCAACAGTAATCACAAAAGAACATACAAAATCCCTGATCTGCATATTATCAGCACCAAGGAGACTTGTTTTCACTGTCACCAATAAAAGGCAGTACATAAGATATAATTGAAGCAAGAAATTCAACTTTTAGACACATCAAAGAAATTATTCATATACCTGCTTTGCTTGAAAATTCAATCCCACCAAAGGATTGCATTGCAGTAGAGCAGTCAGGATAAGCTATGGACATCCGATGCAGAAGAGATTTGTTTATGTCTCTTCCAGCCTGGTTCATTGATAAGTTACCATCTTTATCCTTCCACTGCACTTCATATTGTCCATCTTTTCTATTTTTTACAATTGACAGATTTGGAAGGTTTTCCTTAAAAAATTGCAGCACAGGAGTCTGCAGCTGTTCCTTGTTGAAATATGATCGAAGCAGACGCAATCCAGTTAGCAACTCATCAGTCTCCACATCACGAATGGCTCTGCTTACAGCACTTCGACGTTCAACTGTAAAAACATACAAATTAAAAATAAAAAACAAAATTCAAGGTACATTCTGATATAGTCAACCAAAAAAAAAAAAGCAAGGAAAAGTAAATCCAAGTGGCCAAAATCAGAAATTGGCATGAGTTCAAGGCAGGGAAATTACTAGTCATAGGAAAGTCTTTATTTGTGTTTATTTTTAGATTAAGTATTATATTGGTCAATGTTTAATATATCTCTTAAACTTCTACGTGTTAGAATACCACTAGTCCCGAAAGGTTAAATTAATTGTTAGGAAATGGGCCACCAATTCATATCAAGCTCTCCAACAGTCCCTCGCGTGCAATCCCATCTTGCATGTGGAGATGTAAACAATCAAACATGCAGAGGAATAGAAGTTGGTTCGCATTCAGGCGCGGTCTCCACCTGCTGGTGATCACAATTGAATCGCAACTGGGTGTAGTTGGTTCACATTCTCTCTTGGTTCCCCTTTTGGTTCAATTTCGATTGTGGTGGGTGTAATTGGTTCATGATTTTCCTTGGTTCCCCTTTTGGTTCAATTTTGATATCTCTCCAGCTTCTCTCTCTGGTTCGACTCTAATTTCTCTCGCTCAGATCCAAGATCAATTTGCAATTTCAATTCATGACTGTCTTCACCCTCTAGTTCGACATTGATCACAATCTGTGATTCCCCTTCTGGATCAACCCTCATCTGCCTCAGATCCAAAATCAATTCTGGGTTTTTTTTTTTTTTTTTGGAATCTGGTTCGTGGAATCTTGGTTGGGTGTGATCAATTCTGGTTTGTTTTGGTTTTGGTTCGCAAATTTCTGGTTTATAGTTGATTTTAGTTCATCTACTGTGTATTTGATTCTCTGTTCTGTTGAATAGTTGTTTGGTGTCTATTCCACTATGTCGATAGATTGCAAGTTATTAGCATCCAATTATGTGGAGAAAATTATTCGTATTGGTCCAACTTGTATTGCAATTTGACAACTACAAATGCCTAAGAAGCACTGACACGGATACTGATATAGATATGGATGCGGACGCAGATACGAATATGGGACACAGCGATCTCAAAAAAATGAAGATACGGACACGGCGAGGACACGACAACAAAATATGTTTTCATATATTTTTATTTGCTATCTAACTTAATATTACATCCACGAACAATCAATATTAACAAAAACTAACTCTAATTATATTTTTTATTTTAAATTAACACTTATAATTTATATCTTTTTATAGACGGTCTATTAAGTATTTAAATCTAAGAAACAAATAATAAACATTCAATATTTATCAAAATCACTGAATAAAATGGAAGAAAAGACAACTTGACTTGTCCCTAGTGTGTCCCAGAAATGTCCCCGGCATGTCCCCTAAAAATAAATTAATTAAATAAGGGGACACGCCATGTGGTGTGTCCCATATGTGTTCCCGAAGGGTCTACGTGTCCCCGAAGTGTTCGTGTATCCGACACGGATACAACACTTGTTTTGAAGTGTCGGTAACACAATTACCAAAACAAGAACATTGTAACATCTAAGACAAACATCAGATATCAGCAAGAACCAGAAAGTAGATCTGAATAAACATGTAATGAAATGCATACTTTCATTGTCTCTGAATGGAACAGTCTTTTCAATTGGGGGCTCATTTGGACCAGTACCACCTATGTTGCTCGAAGGAGATGAAGCAGATTGTTTAACAGTTCTCTTAACTCTTCGTTTTGCCATTGAAAATAATCGCCTGATCACAAAAGGATTTAGTTTAATTTGCAGCTTTCACCAGGAACTTGTCTTTGTACAAATGAGAATGGTTGAAACACATCCTTGACAATCTTACCACCTAACCTGAGGTAAAATATTTATTAATTATGTGTCTGAAACATATTTTGCAATTATAAAATGATATGCCAATTTTGAATAATATAAATGTTAAAAAAGAGGATTTATAAAAGCAGCAGCACACAAAAAACTATATCCATCAGTATTGGCACCAAAGTAGCTACAGAAGCTAGTCAAGATTTATGTTACATGGACTCTCCTATTTCCCCCAAAATACCTGTGTCCAACAGATATGACAAGGGGAAGGGGGACACAGGTAAGGGCATGGAATATGTTTCCAAGACTCGTACCCAATTTGGACACTCCGATCTTCAACTTTTTACAATGTTTGAAGAATAAGAACCTCAAATTTGTTAAAAAATAAACATTTATAGCCTCTAACATAGATGACAAATATAAATTCTATAATTTCCCTTAATTTCAAGTACATTTGTACATAATTTATAACATTATATCAAAGAATATTATATAATATGTAATATATATGTGTGTGTGTGTATGTCCATAACGAGTACCCATACCCATAATCCTATTTTGGGTACATATACCAATATCCTCAAAGCCACAAACACCCACACACCCACACACAAAAACTTGAAAAAAAATTGAGATAACAAAAAAGAGAAACCCTTCAGTTGACACATTCTATCAAACATGTAGAAGACAAATGAGAATGGATGCAAATTTGTAGCTTCAACCGAAACAAATCACGGCATTGAGTACCAATCACCAATTGATTCGAACCCACAAAAAAACACAGAAAAACTAGTTCGATTAAGTCAAAAGATCCACAAAATTTAGTCCAAAAAACCCATGAAAATCACCCAAAATTTCAAGTACCTAGAAAACAGATCTCTCGAAGGAGCAGAGCAGAAACCATAAAATCAAACATGATTTGCGAAACACAGCAGGGACGGTGAAGATGAGAAGAGTACACTTAAAGTAAAGCAGATAAAAGCTGATGAAACATACTCACAGTAATGTTCAATTCAAAGCCCTTGAAATGCTGATGATGAAAAAAAAAAAAAACACTTCCACGCAAACAAATCGGAGTCGCAATGTCAGCTTCGACTCTGTTTCTGTTTTTCCTGATTCCAAAAACAATCATATTTTTTTTTATTTTTTTTTTTTGTTTTTTTTGTTTTTTTAAGGAAATTAGAGAGAAAAGGTAAAGAAAGAAAAAAAATATATACGTGTATATATATATATATATATGTAAATATTAGGCCAAGTTTGGAAAGACTAAATAAGTACACTTTTTGACTTTTTTTGTATTATGTGTAGAAAAAGTAGAGAGGAGATGTTGATTGATGTGACCCAAAAAAGATAAAAAGATGAAATAAGTGCACTTTTTTAGGTTAGCCAAACTTGGCCTTATTGTGTTACTCATTTGGGGGAGGGAAAATAAGGCTCTGTTTGGAATAATTCTCAAATTCGTTTTCTATCATTGAGTTCGTGTATGGTGTTTGGATAGAGTTGTGGAATTAATTTTCTATAACTTTACAGAAAACTCTGTCAAACACAGTGTGATTTTCAATTTTTTTTTCGAAATTTGGCTAAACCGGTCGTTCGGCCGGTTGACCGGAACAGTGATTTTTTTTAATTGATATGTTAATTTTTATATATTCAAAAAAAATATTTTTTGAATTTTTAAATTTTTTTTATGTGTTTTAAAATAATTTTGAGTTGTATGTTTGGTTATGAGTTGTAAATTTTTGTATCAAATATCAAATATCACATCAACAACTCCCAACTCAATTTGAAACTATTTTCAAAACTCTTTCACTAAACAAATTTTTCACACTCAAATCATAATTCCAAACCTCACAAATTCAAAATACAACTCATATGCTCAAATCATAGTTACAAAACTCTACTAAATGCAACCTAATTTTTTTTTTTTTTTGAATTTTTAAATGAATTTGGTTTATGTTTTGAGATAAATGTTTAAAAAAAAAAATTGGCGGGAGTGTTTATAAATTTTTTTGGTTTATTTGGTTATATATTTTGAAAATAGTTTTGGAGTTTAGGATGATTTGATATGTTGTTGTAGTTTAGTAGATGTGTGTGAGAAAAAAAGTGATTGAGAAGGAGAGAGGAGAGAGAAAAAGTTATTGATTGATGTCTAGAAAAGAGAAAGTGATTTAAAAAAAAAAATTTCAAAACATTTAAACCAAACAAAATTTTGAATTTTTTTTTCAAAAATTGTATTTTGATATACAAACCAAACAAGCTCTATATATTTAAGGGTGATTTGGCATCCAAAATAAGTACACATTTTTTATATTTTTTTGAGTCACATCAATTAATATATCCTCTTTACTTTTTTACAAATTTTTTTTTATAAAAAATCAAAAAATACACTTATTTAGAACACTTCAAACCACTTTTCACTTTGTCTTTTTACATTTTAAGTTTAACTAGTTTACTTTTTAAATTAATTTCTATTCAAAAATAAATAGACAATTTGACGTCGGTGGTCACATAATATTAAAAAAAAAGAGGGTCATTTTTCAAAAAGTCTTATTTTTAAATATTATGTTTCATTTAATCCATTTTCTTTTTTAATATTTCATTAGCCCTTGTTTAAATTAAGGAAAAATTATTTATAAATCATATTAAGGAGACTTATGCTACATATGGTCCTACTAAAAAACTTATGTTCTTATAAGTCCGGTGGAAAGTTTGTTAACACATTTACCCTCAATATTAGTTGTTAATATCATAAATAATAGTAAAACCATATATAGGAAATTGCATGTTACCATAGATCATATCTATATAAATGTAACGTAACGTGACACCTATACGTAACGTGACACCTACATAAACGTAACGTGACACCCATGATCTATGGTAACATGCAATTTCCTATATAGATGATATCTACATAAACGTAACGTAACGTGACACCTACATAAACGTTGAATGTTGCCATAGATCATATATGAGATCATATATGATCATATAGGAAATTGAATGTTGCCGTTAAATGTTACCATAGATGAGATCATATAGGAAATTGAATGTTGTCATAGATCATATCTACATAAACGTAACGTAAAGTGACACCTACATAAACGTAATGTGACACCTATGATCTATGGCAACATTCAATTTCTTAATAGGAAATTGAATGTTGCCATAAATCATATTTATATGAAACGTAATGTGACATCAGTATAAACCAGCAATATTTTCACATTCAATTTAAAAAAATAAAAACTCATTAAGTTTGCGAAACGTAACATGACACGTTACGTTATGTTTATGTAGGTGTCACGTTACGTTGCGTTTCGTTTATATAGGTGTCACGTTACGTTACGTTTATGTAAGTGTCATGTCACGTTACGTTTATGTAGGATCTTGTGGAATATATTACTATCTAAATAGGACTTGAGACTCTATGAAAAATTACACAGGACTTAACCTACCATAAGTGTCTGAAAAATGACTTATAAATAAGTCTCCCTTAAATCAATATGACTAAATTACCTTTCTAAACTTTTTGGGCATATTTTCATTTTGAAACCAATACACAATAAAAAGATAATAATAATTCCTCGTGGAGAAAATTTATCCATCATTCTAGAGAGAAAATTTCTCCCTTATTTCATGGAGAAAATCTCTCATTTATTTTATTGAAAATTTTTCTCATTTATTCTAGAAAGAAAATCTTTTACATTTTCAAAACCTTAAATCATCTATTTTACTCCGACGTGAAGAAACAATGCTGTGAGCATTCACATCCATCAAAGTATAGATACTGTGAACATCCACATTACTGGTGGTTGCTTATATTTGTATACACATAACCGTTGGCTTAATGTGAGTTGTGGTAAATAAATGTTGATGTGAATTTTCACATTACAAATGTATGTTAGTAAAATAACACATTATTGTTTGCACTTGTATGATTATTTCTGAATGTAAATATTAACATTGATTAATGATGTGATGATCACAACACCAATTGCATCACATTACAATGTAATAGTTCACAACAAGCAATGACTTATTATAATATGAATATTTACACTATGTAATAATCATGCAAAACTTATACAATAATCATTGATATGTAAACATTCACATTATGCAATAACTATGCAATTATCAGTTTACATTGTACGTGTAACCATCACATATGATAATCCAAAACAACAATAACTTCAGTGGATGCGAATGTTTACATTCACTGAAATACTCACCTAATAAACATACACCACTGAAACGCTACAAACACAAAATAACCAATGATACGTGACCATTCACATCATGCAAAAAATAGCTACGTCCATATTTTGCATTGGTAATCCCAAACCGAACACTTTATTGTCATCATTACACATCATTATAGATTAAATAAGTCCAAATTCACACCACCAAATAATGGCAATAAACAACCTGCAAACATCTCTCTATAATGATATAACCAATAATATGTGAATGTTCATATTACACCAGATCTAAAAACAAAACTATATCTGAACGCATTACCAGACAAAACCCATAACCTCATTTAACCAAACAAAACTTGCATCTCCATCTATTACAAAAAATGAAGTTGAAAACAAAAAATAGAGCATACAATCATTTATATAAATCCAAACATAAATGAACATGCATCCTTTATATACTAACCTTGAGACGATGTTATCTACTCGTTCTCTCCCTTTGAACAATGTCTAACTTTGCAACAATTATGTAAAAAAAAAAAAAAACAGAGCACAAACGAACAATATTAATGCAGCCTTGATTCGTCATATTCCTTACACACCAACGGAACCTTAACACAACAAAGCAACCCTACAACGTCAATGAAACTGGATCACAATCAATAGCGTGAATCATGGCAACTGCCGAAATAGAATGATATTCAAAAAGGAAACATGTATATCCTTTTTGTGTAATATATATCAACAATAAACACTAAGGTATAAGAATCTAACAAATGATGTAAATTAGGAAAAAAAGGAACTCATGGAATAAAAATATAAACACATGAGACTAAATAGGTTATAAATTTTCTTGATGGACTTATTAGGTTAGAACATCCCTAAATGGGATTTATCAACAAAAATCCCCATAAAAAATATATGGCCTTGTTTGGAAAGTTGATTATTTAATTTTTTTGCTATTTTAGCCTGATTAAAATATTTGTGTTTGGAAAGCTAATTGATTTGATGGTTATGAGAGAAAAAATAAAATAATTATCGGTTAGATGTGACATTTTATTTTATTAATTATATTAATATATTTTGTCTTTTAGTGGGCTATTTTAGCCCAACCCTCTTTCCAAACCTCCCTATTGAAATTTAGGTTTAAGTCACAGGTGTGAGTTATATATAATTAAATATTTTTATGTCACGTGACTGATAATATATCATTTTCTATCTAATTTTGGATACAAATTAACTTTTGGAGTAAATTGAGAAAAATTTAAAACATAAATGACCAAAATGAGAAAAAATAAATTTTAAGTGAGAAAATGATCAAACTGATAAAATGTAATTTGCCCATATATATTTTATAACCAATCCATTTATTATGTACTAAATTTCATCACTTTTTGTGAGAAATGAAATATGATTAGCGAATGAGTTATATTTTTACTATTTTTCATCATTTCTTATCATTTTGTAATCAATTTATAAATCAAATACAGGAAAATAGTTTTATTTCTCATCTTTATCCCTAAGGCCTTGTGTGGGAAGTTGGTTATTTTAGTTAGCTATTTAATTTTTTAACTATTTTAACCTAACTAAAATAGTTGTATTTGGAAAGTTGATTGGTTTTTTTTAGTTGATTTGATGGTTATGAGAGAAAAAATGATTATAAATTAGATGTGACATTTTATCTTATTAACTATTTTAACATATTTTATCTTTTAATAAATTATTTTAACCCAAATCTCTTTCCAAACACTTCCAAAATCACCATATCTAAACAAAGTGATGGTTTTGTTTCGCAATGCAAAGCGTGTGCACAAAAATTGCTAGTTAAAGGGTGCTCTAAATGGTTGTTCAAAAAAAAAAAAAAAAGTGTTCTAAATGCAACCCAAATTGATGTCACTACTATTCTTTTTAGCTCACATATTATTACTTAAGAATGTTGCAAAATGCTCCTACTCTTTTTTGGGTTCCCTTATTTT